AGGCCTAGAACCATAGTAATACATTTGGCTGTCTAGATTCCTGGTAACATGTTGGAGCTTTACAAAGTCCCTACAGAAATTTCATTCCCAGGATTCTCCCATTATACTTTTTGCTTAGCTATTGCCTTCCCCAACTCTTTATCCACTGCTTCAGGCACCCAAAGATAATTTATTGCCTCTAATTGTTTCAACAAGTTTTTCACACTGGGAAACTTTTTGACAGATCAAATAAAGATATCCTTACAACTGAGGCCCAGGGCTGCCAAACAGGTCAAATAGTGACAATTCTTTGGGAAGGAGGCTTTGAAAGAACTCCAACTCATCCTTGTCCCACTAGTGACTGCCAGAATGCTAGTTTTCATTGTATTTGTAGGCTGTTGCTTTTTAAATCCACTGTGGAGCTGGAGAGGGGTGACACCAACAGGGTAAGTTATAAGATCATAATGCATATTGTTCTTACAGATAGATATTTCACCTTTTTTATTGAACAAATCCTCTTCAGATTGCTAAAAGAGCTGATATTCTTGAAAAGCTTGCTTGCTTTCCCATTTTTAAGCCTGGGATGCCCTTCTCTGTCAAGTTCCACTTATATTTTAAGCCTTATTTAGATGTTACCTCCTGGTGTGGCTTTTCTGAGACCACTGTCCCCTTGTTACTTGCTTCCACTTGTCTTCTCCAAGTCCAGAGAGGCCATAACAAAAAGAGTGGTGGCAAAGAGGATTTGGCTGAATGCTTCCAAGTTTGGGGTCCTGATGGTGCCAACTACAATCCCAGAATAGCCTTACTCATTAGATGTGAATGATCAACAATGAAATCTGTTTTTAAAGTTCTGTTTTGGTTCTTAAAAGAACAAACCAATAAAATTTGAAATTCTTCCAATTTTGCTTACTGTTTAAGGGCCGTGGTTCTTCAGTAAGATCATATGAATTCACTGCTTCTTCACAATGATAATAATGGCAACCACTTCATTACCTATCCTGAGAATTGAGAAACAATTCAAATTAAACTCTCAGCACAGTGTGATAGGTAAGCACTTCATATAGAGTTGCTGGGATTTTTGTTATTTTCAGAGCACTAATACTGAATAATGTTGTATGTCCAAGTGGGAAGAGATCTCAGAAATCCAGTAGTTCAGTTGTATACCCAGGCAATAATTCACTTTGAAATTATATACAGCATACTTTAAAATATTTTCAAGCATAGAAGTTTATCATCTTAAAGGCAGTTCATGGTCTTACGGAATCACTCGTATCATTAGAAAGATCCTTCTATGGATCCTAAGATCTTTCTGCTGTTTTCTCCTAGAACACCCTGAAATAAAGCTGTAATCATACATGTGAGGCAACCCTTCCACCACTCCAATGAAGCTGCATCATCACCCTCACTAGCTCAGCTTCCTAGCTATGCTCTGGGCAGTAAGCTGGTAGTTTGGACTAGAGACCCACTCTCTCTTGCCTCTAACTGCATGGCCTGAGGAAATCAAATGGGATCTGAAAAGTCTAGGAGAAAGAGTAAATTCCCCCAAAAGGTCACTAGAGACCTCAGTGTCTCATTTCTACATCCATTCCCATAACAAGTAAATCTCTGCCCCACCTCTGCCCTAGGAACTCTGCCAGTTAAAACATGAACACACACAAAAAGTAGAGATTTAATTTATTGGTTGCTCTTTGGCAAACATTATATAGAACATTATTGGGGAGAAAATTAAATTCTAGTTACAGATTCGTAAAACTTTAAGCCAAAATAGCTTTTATGACACTATCAAATCCCCTCTCACCCTCATACACAGCAAGGTAGTTCCATCACAGTCTAGACAATTCTTTGTTGTTTTTCAATGATTAAAGCAGACACAATATATAATGTAGGTAATATTAAATATCTTGAGTAATAACAAATCAACAGAACTACTTTCACCCTTTCACTCTTTAGCATCAACTGGTCACTTAGAAATGTTTTGTCCCTAACTTTTCACTTTAAATTTCCTCTTTAAAAGGGACTCTCTGAACTAGTCATCATTATCCACTATATGTTTGTACACACTCATCTTAAGTCTCCCAAAATCACACTGAAAGTTCTTCCTAATATTGCTTCAGAAACGTTAACCTTTAAGGACCATTCAATTTAAAAAAATAAGAGCTCAGGTCTTGACTATGTAACACATCTTAATACGTGTAAAATGGTATTTCTCTCTGCCCTGACAAGTCTCTATCAACATACAATGTGCCAGCTTCTTCTCCTAACTCAGAGGAAGTCATATAAAGGAGAAAAAGAAAGCAAGCTTGAAATCACAATGACCAAAGGACCTGAATTAATAATTACATTAAATAACCATAACTTTTTGTTTAACTATTCACATTCCACACAGTGGAAATTATCCTTTCCTCCAGATTTTTCTCATACAACTTTTAACTTTGAAAAATGACAGTAACAAAAAACAACTTACAAACTTACAAGATGTGTATTTACTCTTCTAATGCCAAGCACAAAGTGTACATCATAAAATTCATCTTTGGTGTTTGGCATTTTTTTTTTTTGATAGGTAAGATCAAGATCACAACTATCTTGCCATAGAAAAATCCTACTACAATAATGCAAAAATATATATCATTACATCATTGGTGACTCCAATAAAATAAGTAACAGATATGGCGTTTTCAATAAATGTTGGAAGCCACACCATACTTGTGCTCATCTTAATACAGGCACAGTAAGAAAAGCAGACGTTTTCCTCTTTGGCTAGTGCTATGCTTCTAGGGTATTTATGCTGCTGATTATTCTGGTGAAGTTAATTTTGAGGAAATTCTCTTTACTTGAGCCAAATCTGACTTACATGCAAGACTGTGGTACAAGCTCCTAAAAGAAGATTGCTGCTGCCAACTTAAGTCATCTCTTTTTAACAAAATTGCATGCTTGTGGCAGAATTAAAACAACAAGAGAAATTCAATGTTTGCTGGTTCTGAATGTCATTTTTCCTCTCTGGTGTGGTTTTACATTTAAAGCTTCTTCCCCTTTCTTTTCCTTTCCCCCACCCTCAAAATTCTGCCTTTGCATTTGTGTGCTTAATTAAATCCATGTTGTGCTTTATTGTTGGAGGATGTGGATGATACAAAGATTTAGGGCAGGGGAATACAGTGTATATGAAATGCATAGACTATGTGTTTGCATGAATTTGCCTAATGTAGAATCATCAGTAGTGATTTATAAATATTTAAAATTAGACCCAACATTTTGGGTGTTCATGCCTCTGTCTAAAGGCATGGCTCCTGTTGGTAGATGGGAGAGCACTAACCCACAACAAAAGCAACATAGAAACAGCTTCTTTAACTGCAATGGTTCTTTGAATGCTGGAATCTTGATGGGCAACTGAATCTCAAATCTCTGATGTTTGTTTTCCAAATGACACTTGACTTGGCTAGAGAAGCTGAGAAGATAAAGGAAAAAAAAACTGGGGCATTTATATATAGAACTTCAGGCTTGAAGAGAATAGCTTAGCCAAATTCAAAGTGCAGTAAGGTTCACATACCCTGCACTTTGGTCATTAGAAAAAGTCTATATAGGCATTTGGCAAGCAGCCCCAAGTTTCCTCAGTGGAAAGCACCTCCAGTAGGTACAGAGTGGTTGCTATGTCCCACAGATCCTACTGGTAGCAGATGGACAGCTCCAAGGGTCCTTGCAGACCCTCAGAGAACAAATGAAGAAAGGGAGGTCAGACCCCTCACATCTCCTCCAGGTGTTAAAAGCTAACTATTACCATGCCAGAGGCAATCCCGCTTACTTCCTTACTCTCTCTTCTCTCTAGTTCAGTCTTCTAACAAGAGGCAATACAAAACCACCCCAAATAGGTTTATAGCTAAAATGGAGCAGGCCCTAAACTCTCAGCTTAGACTGACCTTTCCTGTCAAGTATACTCAGCAGATGCGGAATGTTTATAATACAGGGTTGTGGCTTTCGGGAGCATTATGTAGGAACAATGATTTGAGGAAAAGGTGATTATAACCAAGAAAAAAATATTAGTACCTGAACCAAGGAAGTTTTGGGCTTTTTTCTATTCCTGCATGGAAGGTTCTAAACTACATCAAATGTCCACCTGTGGGGCAAAACAGCTGGGGCTATTTGGGTTTAGCTTGATTACTTGGTTCTGAAAACGGGGGTGGTCGATATTTAAGTTTTAAGTTTGGTGTTGGGTTACAGCTAGTTTGGGTAGATCCCAGTGACAGCCAAAGTCAATGATATTTTGGCAATCTTATTTCTCCTCTGTTCACTTGGGTTCTTTTAAATACCAGGAAACCCTTTCACTGAAGCATGGGCCTCGCTGTGTTTGGACTAGGCCTTCCAGTTCTCTGCACATCTCCCTGTTGAATTCTGCTGGCTGTGACTGGTCCTCACCCTCAATGCTCTCTTTGTCGCTTCCCTGTTCTGATTGTCATCGATCACACCAGCCTCCCCAGAATCTGGTGGGTCTTCACAATATGAAAAAACGTTTACATCATGGTCAAGCAAATTAATTTAGAAGCCTTGGCAGACATGGGATGAGACTGAAATAGACACTGAGAATCTAAGAAAGGAAGGAGTGTGGAAGAGAGAAAGAAGGGAGGAAGAAAGCTGAAAATAATGTCTCTGAGTCTAACACAACACACAAATAAGTCTCTTGCCCTCAGAGTAGCCTCTTCCATTAACATTCATTCTGAAGGGAGATCCTGATCCCCAGGGGGCACATAGAAGACAAATGCAGATCCAGACCACAGCCCTGCCTCTGTGGATGCCAGGGGTGGTGTGGGCATTTTGACCATCCCTGTTTAAAGCAGATAATAATAGGAAGTGAACTCTATCAGAGACTGTTTCCTTTGATGTCTGAAAACACCCACAGACACCCAGGCAGACTCATGCACACAAACTACGGACAAGCAGGCTCTGGTTGGGAGGCAGCCGCTTTTTCTTCTGGCCTCTAGATTTAAGCCAAGTAAGAATCAGGTTGCTTAGGTGTGGCTCTGGGCCTGCCTGGGGCTGCATCCCTAGGACAGGCTGAGTGTGACTTAATCCAAATCGATGGATATGCAACGACACTGCTTCACACGTGTGACCCTCTTCTTCTTGGTGGGTGGCTGTAGTTCGGGGCAGTTGAGTGTGACCATCATGGTGGTGAATTTCTTGGGCTTGCAGAAGGAGCAGGACTGAAAGGAGCCTTCCTCCTTCCGGATGTGCCTGGGGATGTAGAAGGAGTTGCACTGGCCATAGCAGAAGCGATTGATGATAGTGCGGCTGTTGCAGCCCTCCTCGTGGATGGTTTGCTTAAGCGGCTGGGTTTTGCACCAGTCTCGCTTTAGGTATTTGCGCTCGGTCACGTGGAGGGCCTCTTGGCTGGACTCCAGCACCTCCTCCCCCGGCATGGCAGTGCCCCGCCCCTGGCCCCGCCCCCGGTTCTTGGAGCCAGGCTGCTGGGGCGACTGAGTCTGCTCGGAGTCATTGTGCTGAGCCTTGTCTGGTGGGGGAATGGCACCTTGGGACCCTTTCTTTTTTCCTTCAGCAGCCGGCAGCAGGGTCCCCAACAGGAGAAGCAAAGCTCCCACAGTGTAGGCGGTGCGGCTCATACTAAAGGGAAGCAGAGAGGGAAGAGAGGACAAATGGAAGAGTGAGTTAAGGAAAAATCAATGATAGCACCTAACATTTTATGTGGCGCTTGTTGAACACTGTATGTAAAATACTCCGTTGGCTTCCCACTATCTCAAGCTCTGAAAGTAACCAGCCTGGCTCCACAATAAACAAGCCAATATTTAAACTCAGCCGGGACCCTTGTGTGGAGGCACATAAGATTTCCTTGCTGATTTCTCACACCCAATTATATTGACTTTGCATTACGGTCACTTAACTGTATTTATTCTTGTATTTGATGACATGAAGCTTTTCACTCTTACCAGGCATTGGAAAACAGAGATGCAAGGGAAGGCCAGAAAGCATGTGACAGGAGAGAGAACAATTTAACAGGATGCACACTGGATGAAGCTGCAAGCCCAGTTTCTGGTTGTAGTCTTGGGACAGCCACTTGCTGTCTGACCTTGATAAACTCACTTTCTTTTTGTTCTTTAATTTTTAAAAATTTTTTAGTTGTAGATGGACACAATACCTTTATTTTATTTGCTTATTTATTAATTCTTTTATATGGTGCCAGGAGTTCAACCCAGTGCCACACACATGCTAGACAAGCACTCTACCACTGAGCTACAACCCCAGCCCCATAACTCACTTTCTTGATACATGACTCTTATGTAAGCAGAGTTACAAACACCTCTCTCAAAGAGTTCATTCAGGTCAAAATTGATTTTAAAATAATAGTAATTTGAGAACTAGATAAACATATACAGATAGCAGTATATTGTGGATAGAACAAATGACTACATCAGGCAGATCACATAACTCTAAAGATCCCTCCACCCCTCACTTATTCTCATCTTGAAACTGGGTCCAGATATTCCTCTTATCACTTTTTACATCATAGGCTATACTTCTCTACTTTTTAAGTGGTAAAATGTCACTCTCCTGTGTGTCTGTGTGTGTGCATAAAGTTTAAAAGGTAGAAAAATGACCTGTAAGCCCGATGCTCAGAAGGCTGAGGCAGGAGGATTGCTTGAGCCCAGGAGTTCAAGGCCAGCCTAAGCAACACAGTGAGACCCCTGTGTCTAAAAACAAACAAACAAACAAACAAACACAAGGCAACATGATTTTTTAAAAAATGAGCATGATAGAACAGATATGTGTAAAAAATTGCATTAATAAACACCACAGGCGTGTTGAATAAATTAATGACAATGAATTATTGTGGGTGGGTCTAGAGCTAGATATAGGTCAGAAAGGGCATATGAATGGTGACATAAATATATAAGGCAGAGGGAAAATTGACTGGCTTTTATCCAAGAGAGAAAAAAGAATGGAGTGAACAAAGTATATCAGGGAAAGAAAGACTCTTAGATTGTTTCAGAGAGGTAGAGCAGAAGGAGAGAAAAGGGGAGGGAGAAGAGCCAGAGAGTGCAAGAGAGAAGCATCAGACTATCCTGATTCTTTGGAGAAAGTCTTCCTGGGCTGGACAGTCCAACCCTCAAGGGGGATCTTGTTTAAATGCAGATTCTGAGTCCTCAGTCTGTCCTGATTCTGAGTCCTCAGTCTGTAGGAGGCCTGTAGCACTTGGGGTCATGGGGTATAATGGGATTGTTTAAATTGGGATGTATTTTCTTTTCTTTTTTTTTGAATTTGCTCTTTTTAGTTATATATGACAGTAGAATGTATTTTGACATACCATGCATACATGGAAAAAGGACATATTTTCTTTTTTAAGAATACAGTTTCAAATTCACATGGTCCCTCCCCAGGTGATCACAACATCTGATCTGATTTCTGAGGTCTCCTCTGGCCTACTCCCATGGTTTCCTGAGCTGAAGGACATAGCTGTGGAGTACTTATTTCTTTGCTCTTCCAAACACAAGCTTAGCACATGATGACCCCTAAGTGCCATGCAACCTTAAAATTTCCCCCCATGAAACCTGACAAGTCTGTATGACTATCTTGAGTAATTTTCTTTCAAAGACACAAGCAGGGTAGCATCTACATTCTCTAATGGACAGCCTCTGGTAAGTAAAGACTATTCAGCCCAAAGGCTAATGTCAAACTAAGATAATTAAATATTACATTTAAAACATCCTTAAATGTCATCATCTTTCCAACAGTATCCTAATACTTTTGGGCAAGTTCAAGTTTGGAGCTGATAATGTGACATTTAGCTCCTGTTCCAACTGTAGGTTCCCTGGCTTTTGTCAGTTTATGTTACAACATCCCTGTTCTTTAAACAGAGTTGGTTTTGCCCCAACAATAACAAAAAAATTAATTTCTTTGTTTTGTCTTTTTTTAAAAAAATCACTTATAAGAAAAGTTCAGTTATAAAACAGTACTGATTTTCTCCAGAGACTAGGAGAACATGAGCCGTGACCATTCAGTCTCCTGGGCAAATATATCATGAATTTGAGAAGCTTTCACAAGTTTCTGCTGTTTACTCAATTTAGGGCCAAGATCTAAAATAAAACTCATTCACTGAGCATTTCAAAGGAGGAATACATAATATCTATGCCCACAATCTTATTCTAAACCTATTAAAAATGACCTATAGTCCAATTCAGTCCTCCCAACCAGGACCGCACCACCCCACCGCAAGCCCACCATCATAGAGGACATTCTGAGATTGACTGCAAAGTATGTTGATTGCATATGACAGGTATCACCCCTTCCACAAACATCTATCCACAAAATGTAATTTTATTTCTCTGGACCAACTTAGGATACTTTTTATACTCAACCTTTTCTTCCTGACATTTTCACTTAAGTTATTGAACAATATCCACTCTGAGAGTTGATGAGGGCTTGCTCATCATCAGTGCTTGGCACAGAGGAGTTGCTCATTAAAATTTATTAAATAAATGATTACTATGATTGATACAGTTTCTGTCCTTTGCATTTTAAAATGTCTTCACTAATGCCAGTATAGAAAAGCCAACTGCAATGTTTTTGGTTTGTGACCCTCGGTATGGGAAACTTCTCCTAGCCTAAAGAGCTTCCTACTACTTGACTTTCTTTTTCCAGGAAAACTCAAATGTTCCCAACTTTTTACTGGTAACATGTGGAATAATGTGGATTTTCTTTCCTAATTGAAGCTACTGAATATACTGTGGTAGAAACTAACAACAAAGCAATGAATTCAAAATTAGTAGACTGGTTTTCAGCTTCAATTTAGACAAACTTATTGTTCTTATGGAAGCATGCATACCCTGTAAGCCAAAGGGGTCTATAGTGACAGGTTTGTTTGTTTGTTTTTAAGAAAAGTAAACTCTCCTCACAATAAGATTTACTAGGTGTGGAAAATGAAATATTGTTCATTTCTAAAAAGTCTGTTCTTTAAATATCTTCAGTGTTTGTTGTAAGGCTTTTGAGATATTAAACTTTATAGTTAGTCAAAGAAAAATAAAAACAACTTCAAGAAAGTCAATCAACAGAGATCTCAGCTTCTTAGAGAACAGCTGTACTGTGAAGCACCGTGGATATTCTACATGAACAAGATTGAGGGATCGAGAACTGGAATTAGTACTGGAACCAGGGCCATATCAGCCATTGTGGTCAATCATCCATGCCCTCCCCACCCCCAAAACAGTCTTGATCATTCAGTGAAGGAATAGGAGTGTTTCACTCTTGTAAATATCACAAATGTACCGGAAATCAAGATGTAAATTCCTTGAAGACAATTTTCTTCCACAGAACACCTAGCAGTTGCCTCATAATCAAAAAGCAGTCCAAATGCTGATCTGTATTTAGGTTTCTATGAATTATTCTCCATGTCCAACAATTAGCTGCAAACAATTTATGGTAATTTCCATTTATAAAGTCACCTATTCACATCATTAAATTAAAGCTCATAAACTCAGCGTGCATCATAACACCCAACAAATCCCTTGATTCTCCTTTGCAGGTAGTATTATTATTCTTTCCAAAGTCCACCTTAACAATCCCTTAGTGGATTTCTGCTTCTCCAAGCAGTGTGATCATATTTGCATAATAAGCTTTCTCTGCAACTATTCTCTAATAGCAAGGCTCATTCCACCCCACCCTACTGTCTTCCTCTCCAATCCAAATCACATCTCGGAAGATATACTCTTAAAGCACGTCTTTTCTCCCTCATAATTTCCTTCCAGTTCCCAATGATTAAGAGTACATGCCATCAAAAAGACAAACCATAGTAACCATCTCATTCCTCGATAGGTCATGATGATTATTTCAGTCCTGGAAAAGACTCAAAGTACAAAACCTTCCTCTACTTCTGGAGACTCAGAAATAAAAATAATATGTGTGATCTGTTTCCAATACTGTTGTCTTTGGGAAAGTCTGGGCCAGTTCCTTTCAGCACTCTTCACACTGAACTTCTCATTTTAGCCAAGTGACCTGTTCCTACTCAGTTAAACGGAGTTCTGAGTGAAAATTACAGGGAAAGCCAGATATCTGTGCCTGAACTTCTGGTTAATTCCTCCTGTTGAACTAACTTTTAGAAAGATATTCAACAGGCATACATCAAATTATTCTTCCAGCATAAAACATAATGGAATTATGCAAATGTTCCACTTGTAGGCCAGATTTTAGAAGAAAATCTATTCCTCTTTTTCAGGACTAAATATTTGGAAAGAATACAGGTTATTTTTTGAATTTTACCTTTAATTTTTTAAAAAGGCAATCAATCAACTTTTAGAAATTAGAGAAATTTCTTAATAATAGGGTCGATTTTTTTTTTTTAAGAAAACTTGCACCAAGGAGATCAAAAGAGTTGACAGCTGGCATACCAACACATCCCCTACCTGTTGCACATCTCTTAACCAAACCTCCCTATTCTGAAGACCATTTAGGTCAAATCAGGCCACTTCCCAACACTTCATAGGGCAGGAAGGAGACCTCCTAGTGGTTAACTATCTCAATAGCTCAAAGTTCATTGGAAGATTATTATTATTTAGTGAGGCTAATGATTGTATACAATTCTTGAAGTCAACAGGAAATGAGACAGAGAAGAA